CTCATCATGTTTAAGTATGTGCCAATGTTTTCTTATTATTTTTTTGACATCGTTGCTTTTATTATTAAAATTGAAAATAACTGGAAGTGATATAGTTTCATTGTTTTCTTTATTTTTATATGTCAGAAGATCTTTTCGTTCTTTTTGTTTGACTGTATTAATTGTAGTATTCAGATCTGGTTCTGAATAATTTTTTTCAATAAATTTATTTTTTAAAAACTCTGCTTGTTCATTAAAATCTGTGAGTTCTGAGCAGTTTCTGCGAAGACGTAGAAACTGACTTTTTGGGGCACTTTCTAGCCACGGCTTATAGTGACAGCTAGATCTGTCTATAGCCGTGTTTACACACACTTTTTTGAAAAAAGTTTTTGTTTGGAGTTGTCCCTTATTGATAAAAATATTTAAATCTAAAAAGTTGATGGATTGTTTACTAAATTCGTATGTGAGGATAATGCCCCTATTGTTAGTATTTAAATAAATAATAAAATCAATATTATTTATTTTCTTCCTAAAATTCATAAAAATGAACAACATCCCCCAGGAAGGCCCATTGTTTCAGGGATAGGCTCACTTTTATACTCTCTCAGTATATAGATACCCTTCTCCAACCGTCAGTCAAACTTATGAAATCATATCTAAAAGACTCCATGTCATTTTTAAAATTTTTAAATGATTTTACCTGGAATAATAATTTTATATTAGTCACATGTGATGATATTGGTTGTCAAGCCATAAAAGAAATTTTAACTCAGGAAGCTAGGATTCCCGACACTCAAATTGATTTTATAATAGAAGGTATCAATATTATTTTAAACAATAATTATTTTTGGTTTTTAGACTCTTTTTATTTACAAAGAAGAGGTACTGCTATGGGGACTAGGTTTGCCCCTAGTTACGCTAATTTGTTTATGGCTGATTGGGAAAATGAAGCCATATGGGGCAATCATACCTGGCGGGCAAACCTAGTCTCCTAGTTCAGATATATAGATGACCTTTTTTTTATTTGGGATGGACCTGAAGAACATCTTATTGATTTTATTAATTATTTAAATACTAACAATAAGGGCATTATCCTCACATATGAATTTAGTAAACAATCCATCAACTTTTTAGATTTAAATATTTTTATCAATAAGGGACAACTCCAAACAAAAACTTTTTTCAAAAAAGTGTGTGTAAACACGGCTATAGACAGATCTAGCTGTCACTATAAGCCGTGGCTAGAAAGTGCCCCAAAAAGTCAGTTTCTACGTCTTCGCAGAAACTGCTCAGAACTCACAGATTTTAATGAACAAGCAGAGTTTTTAAAAAATTAATTTATTGAAAAAAATTATTCAGAACCAGATCTGAATACTACAATTAATACAGTCAAACAAAAAGAACAAAAAGAGCTTCTGACATAAAAATAAAGAAAACAATGAAACTATATCACTTCCAGTTATTTTCAATTTTAATAATAAAAGCAACGATGTCAAAAAAATAATAAGAAAACATTGGCACATACTTAAACATGATGAGATACTTAATCCCATCATACCTACTCATCCAAACATTGTTTTTAGAGGAGCACCAAATTTTAAATCTATTCTAACTACAAATTTTACAAAAAAATCTCCTTTAAAAAATGTATCATTTTTTCCTCAGACAAAAGTTTTTTTTAGATGTAAACAATGCATTGTATGTAAAACTGCGGATCATGCTATTTCATCAAAAACTACAAAATTTATGTCAAACCAAACCAAAAAAGTGTATGATATTTATGATTTTATAAGCTGCCATACGAAAAATGTTATTTATCTGCTCGAGTGCCCGTGTGGCCTCCAATATGTGGGGATGACCACAAGGTGCCTAAAGATAAGACTGAGCGAACACTGCAGAAATATTAGAAATGGATACTTAAATCATACAGTATCCAAACATTTTATTATGCACAATAAAGATCCCCGTTTATTAAAATGTATTGGTATTAAAAAATGTTCCACCTCTTGGCGAGGAGGTGATATAAAAAAGTTACTTGGAAAAATAGAGATGGAATGGGTGTATAAACTTCAGACTCTTATACCCCATGGCCTGAATGTAGATTTTGATTTACACAATTTTTTATGAACCTTTATGTTATTTGATGTCTGTACCTTTAAACTATGGTTTTAATATAATTTATTCTTAACATCTTTTTACCATTATCTTTTATCTAAATCTGCTCCTCCAATTTGCATTGTCCCTTCTTTCTCTAATATAATGTGGACTTGTTTTAATTTAGAATATTATTTAGCTTCCTTTTTTTCCAAAATAAGGTGGATTTGATTTAACTTATGTTTTTAATTTATAACATTATTTAACTTCCTTTTCAATTAATGTACCAAGCATTACATTTATCATTCCCATTTGGTGTTTCCTATCATTAATCCATATGTTGTAATTTAAACTTAATTTCCCATAAGGCATTTCGGCCATTAATGCCGAAAATCATGTGATCACTTTTATATGTTTAATTTTAAACAGTTAGCCCCTTCGTTTTGATGTTTTAAACCTTGTTGCCACATTATATTGATCTGGGTATCTCAAATAATTCTGTTTATATGATTTTTGTAATTTTCGCCGCTTGCAACTACATTTCCCATGTGTCTTTGCGGCGGAACTTCCGAAATGCGGAAGTGCCGCCGGTCATGTGACTTTTTAAAATTTGCTTAAAATCATACTTCCCACCCTTGTTTTAAATCTAAGTATATTTTAATTAAGTTGTATTACTATAAATTATGTGCAGAATAAGCTAATTTGTATTTTAAAGTCATAAATATGTTTTCAATTCTGATTGGATGAATCAAGTTTTGGCGCCAAAATTCAATTAATTATGCTCTTATATAACTTCTATGTGCCAGGTAAATCATGTTATTCCATTTGAAAAAGTCATTTTGTGACGAAACGCGTTATGGATATTTGAATATTGTGTTTTTTATATATATTAAAGTATTTTTGGTCATTTGTTTGTGCCAATTATCTTTTTTATAGACACATATCCTCCTTTTTTTTACCCTGGCCTTTTTATTATTATTTTAATTATTTTTACTGGTTTTAAAAGAAACCTAAAAATTCCTGGAAGTTTCCTGTACCCAAAGAAATCCGTAGGTGGGGATCAATCCACCCAAGCTATCATCAAAGAGCAGTGGGTACTTTAATTGGACACCATTCACGGAGAGGAACCTGCCTTATATCCCATAAGCAGGGATTAAACCGCTGTACGCGCTTTATTCCAGAGCTGGACATTAGCTCTGGTAAATGTGAGTTTTATACTATTATTTTTACGTTTATACCTGAATTTTACATACTACACCATTGGATGTCCTTTTTCCCTCTTTTTATTTTTCATAACAAGTGAAACCACCACAAAAATAGAAGACCCTACCAACCAAGGACACCTATAAGAATATACCAGTTGGACTGTCTTTCCTTTTATTGGATTTTATTTAATGTGCGCAGCCTTTTATTGTCTTTGTTTTATCAAAAACTTCAGTCTCAGAACTATTGAAGGACATAAACAACTATTCTAAAGTCTCAGGATACAAAACGAACCTGGAGAAATCAACATTTATAGCTAAAAATATGAACAAAAGGATAATTAAATTTCGTGTAGAAAACATTGGGCTCCCCGAAAACAAGGACAGGCTAAAATATTTGGGTATCACTATAACCTCAGATCTAAAAGATTTAATAGAAGCCAAGTTCCTACCTCTACTAATACAAACTTATAAAAAACTTAAGGAACTGGAAAGGCATGGGCTTTTCTTGGTCAGGTAGGATCAACATCCTAACAGAATACATTTTGCCAAAATAGCTGTACTTGTGGAGAATGATTCCTCTTAATTTCCCAGAAAACTGTCTGTCTTTACTACAATCCTCTTTTTTTAATTCATATGGGGTGTTGGAGGGGGGCAGGAAACCAAGAGTTAAAATGAAAGTTTTGGACATATCAAGGCAGACTGGAGGTTTGGGGTGCCCAGAAATTTTACAATACTATCAGGCTAGCAGACTTTTTCATATAATGCTTACACAAAGCAATGAGGAAACTCAAAAAAATATGGTACAGAATGAAAAAAAAATAAAACTGGGGTTGGAAATGTATTCACACTATATTGGGTTCTAGATGTAAATAAAAAATGTATTAAAGAGGCACAAACAAAATCCCAGATACTCAAATAGTTAACAAGATTGTGGGATAAATTACAAACAACAAAGGATTCAGAAATAAAATAATAAATGTGCTCCCATTCTCTAGTATTTCAGATGTTATAAAATATAAAAACAGACATGTGGACGTCTGGGGGATAGGGGAATTTAAAAATATAGTAGTGGAACATAATATCAAACCCTTCAACCACATTATGGAGGAATCTAATATTACTCTAGTGAAACATTCAATTATATGCAAATTTAGAGTTTCTTAGCAGAACACCTCTATAAAAACAAGGTTGAGAATGCCATAAACCTTATACATCTATTTGAACTAAAGAATTCTTAAAATCTACTGGCAAAATGTGCTAAAGTTGTATATAGGTGGAGACATGATAAACTGATAGAACTGATTATTAAATGGGAAAAATAAGTATAAGTACATATAGAAGAAGAATAATGAATAAACTCCTTAAACAAACTAAACAAATATATACATTGCTTTAAGGACCACTATAGACACCCAGACCACTTCAGCTTAATGACGTGGTCTAGGTGCCAGGTAAATCTAGGATTAACCCTTTGTTTATAATATGGTTAATCCAGCCTCTAGTGGCTGTCTCTTGACAGCCTCTAGAGGCGCTTGCGTGCTTCTCACTGTGAAAATCACAGTGAGAAGACGCCAGCGTCCATAGGAAAGCATTGTAAATTGTAAATGCTTTCCTATGAACTGGCTGAATGTGCGCGCGGCTCCTGCTGATGACGTCGCTATGGAGGAGGAGAGGAGGAGGAGAGCTCCCCATCCGGCCCTGGAGAAAGGTAAGATTTTAACCCCTTCCTCTGCCCAGAGCCCGGCGGGAGGGGGACCCTGAGGGTGGGGGCACACTCAGGGCACTATAGTGCCAGGAAAACGAGTATGTTTTCTTGGCACTATAGTGGTCCTTTAAACCCAATTTAAACTTTCAAATAGATGGTACCTAACACCAAAAGGCTTAAAGAAAATCTTACCAGAGATGCTGGAAATGTAATATTAATGAAGGCAATTTGATTCACATTTGGTGGCAGTGCACACCCATAAACAAATTTTGGAATAAAGTAATTAAGATAATATACCAAGTAACGGAAATAAAATTACCTTTTAAGCTTAAAAGCTTGGTCTTACTAAACATGAACTGGCCAAATATGACAATAAGAACATTAATCCCTTAAGGACCGGACTGTTTTTGCGATGTTGTACATTTGCATCCAGGCTTCTTTTTACACTTTTGTGGTGTTTGTGTTTAGCTGTAATTTTCCGCTCTCTCATTTATTGTTCCCATACAAATTATATATTGTTTTTTTTTCAGGACAAGGGCTTTTTTTAACATACCATTATTTATATAATCTCATGTAATTTAGTAAAAAAAAAATATGATGAAAAATTGAAAAAAATACATGTTTTTTTACTTTTACTTGGAAAATTACCCAGTGTTTACACGCTTTTTTGCTGGTTTTTGCAAGTTATAGGGCTATAGGTACAAGTAGGATATTGCGGTTTCAAAACATACATTTATAAAATTTATCAATAGTGACATTGTAACACTGTTATTCTGTCATAAATCTCTGAATAACACCCCACATGTAACATATTTTTTTTAAAGTAGACAACCCAGGGTGTTCAATATGGGGTATGCCCAGTCTTTTTTAGTCACAAACACTGGCCAAAGTGAGCATTCATATTTGTTTGTGTGTTAAAAATGCAAAAAAACGCTAACTTTGGCCAGTGTTTGACTAAGTGGCTACAAAAAAAGACTGGACATACCCCATTTGCAATACCTTGGGTTGTCTTCTTTTGCAACTGGTATGCCATCATGGGGGTAATTCTCATTCCTGGGCTACCATATGCTCTCAAAGGCAACGTAACCAACCTGGCAATTTTCAATGTAAAATATTTGACCCATATATTTGACCCTGTAACTTTCAAAAACGCTATAAAACCTGTACATGGGGGCTACTGTTATACTCGGGAGACTTGCTGAACACAAACATTAGTGTTTCAAAACAGGAAAACGTATCACAACAATTATATCATCAGTAAAAGTGCTGTTTGTGTGTGAAAAATGAAAAAAAAAGTCACGTTCACTGACAATATCATCGCTGTGATATGTTTTACTATTTTGAAACACTATTTTTTGTGTTCAGCGAAGTCTCCTGAGTAAAACAGTACCCTAGCAAATTAAATTATCTGGACTTTCAGCCTGGGTTGTCAGGCAGGTCCCTCAAATTGCAATCAATAAAATTACCTAAATATGCAAAAATATTACATAAATACACATATAGAATTTAAATATATATGCATACTTATATATTTGAAGTCTACGTGTATATTTATATAATTATTTATGTAATTTTGTATATGGACATATGTATATTTCGTATTATTTTTATTTATTTATATATACATAGATATATATATATATAGATATATATATAAATTTTCATTCTAAGTGTATTTTGATACAAATATATATACATTTATATCAAAATACAGTTAGAATAAAGCTTCATATAAATATATAAAAAAATTAAATTTTGTTATTATTTTTCTATTTTTTAATTCAATTTACTTATTATTTGTATTTTATAATAATACATATACACACTATATATAGTTATTATATATATTATATATATACTTGTGTAATTTAATTATAAGTGTATTTTTATGTTA